TGTTCAGCATGGGGGTGAGTAGAAAATGAAGGCTAATCATGTTTTGGGTGTACTATTCCTTTAAGGACTAGGTATTGTGGACTAGGATGTCTCTTTGCAGATGTAGTGGTGCGAAAAATTCCTCTCAAACCCACCTGGTATTATAACCCAACACATGCCAGAATTCAACATGATGATGAGCCGTTTAAACACGACACCAACAGCAAAGCAGACAGTGGAACTTTTAATTACTATGTTAATAACTGTGTATAATTCATTAGTAGGTTGGTAAAAAAAACAAAAAAAAAAACAAAACACTCATATAGTATGTTTCAAACCGCAATAAAGATCTTAAAAGAATGATGTATTTGAGTATTTTATTTTTTACAACGCAACTTGGAATTATGGGTAATCCAGAGCGTAGATCAAAACCATAGCCATTACTGTCATGTTGGGTTCAAGGTGTCTAACCCACATGCAGAAAACACTCTTGAAACAGGGAAGAGGTTAAAATTTTTACAAGTTTAATCCTCCCGTGACCAGTTCTTCTGACTGGTCACGGGAGGGAAGCCACTGAGGAGGACAGAGCAGTTAGTGTTGATCCAGGAAACATGCAGATTTCAGACGACGAGAATTAATACCTGCTCAGAGAGGATACTGATCAGCAGGGGGGGAACCTTGTGAGTCCAGAGGCTAGTCGGCAGGTAGAGGGGTGAGTGCTGAGGCAGAGACTGAGACAGAGTGCAGGCAGGCAGATTCCAGACCGAGATACTTTCTCCAGGATTCCAGGTTTCCAGAAAAATCAGGATCTGTGAGGCAGAGAGAAACTAGATCAGACAGGTTCTCAAAATCAGAGTTACAGATCAGGCAGGCTGGCTCAGGTTTTGCTAACCATTACTGGCAAACACCCTGGCAGGGAAGTGTCAGCCTCCTCCTCCTTAAATAGGTCTTCTTGATGAGGAGACAGGAAACAGGTGTGTGAAAGTGAGCTCATGCCCTCAGGAGGAAGAACTCAGGCGCCCTCTGGTGGAGAAAGTGAACAAGCCTCCAGATCCCAACAATTACATACAATATGTTAGCGACGATGGATACCAAAATTAGGTACTTAAGCGGGGTGTTGTACTTCATATGGGGCCCACCCAGATAATGTCGCTTACGGGCCTATTGTTGTGTCGTTACACTGTTGCTGTAGTTATAAAAAAAAAAAAAAAAAAGTTTAAGAAACTTGACTTTATGAACAAATAAAAACTTGTCCAGATGTAGTCCACATTCTTTTTTAACATCCGGCTCTTTGCAGATCATCTCTTAGGACATTTAGAGTCTAAAATTAAGGATGCTACAGCGGCTCTCCCTCATCTACTATCACCCTTTAAAATGTTTTTTTTATCGCTTACAGATACATGCTGCCTCCCAAACTGGCTTTGAAATCTAATTTGTATACATTAAAATAAAGTTGTTTGTATCCCATTTTGATCTGCTAGTAATACAAACAACAGTCCCTTCAATATAGCTCCATCCTAAAAATCTAATCAAACCATTTAATCAGTTTGTCTATATACTATTTACAACACATATCATCTCAAGGCAATTTATAGTCAACCCAATGAAAGCATACAGAGTTCTTAAAATGTTTTCAATCAAAAGGAACTCGGCAGATTGAATTGAGTCATTGATTGGCAGAAGTGACTCCTCCTTGGTGAGTCTATAGTGACAGTGGAGAGTTGCTTTCATTGTGATGCTAACTTTGCAGGAAAACTGTTTTAAGAGAAGAAAATCTGCAGAATTAGGCTCATTGTGAACAGCCCTCTGGCACAAATGAGCAGACACAGAAAAAATAAAACAGAAGCCTTGCTCCATATGTGAAAGAAAAGAAAATTGTTAGTTGGAATATTTTGTGTTATGGATTATGGATAGTTTGTTCAGCGTTATCTGAGGTTTTAGTTTTCAGCCAAAACATATGTTTTGGACCTTGATGAAAAAGTAAAATTCTGAGCTCATCTAACAAGAAGGCGTACCTTTGTCCCCTAGATCAGCGTTTCCCAATCCGGGGTACTCTAACCACTGGTGTTCTGTGTGTGCATTGCAAAATAAGATGGACTCGTGATCTGTTTTGCTTTGTGAGGACCCAATTAAAAAAATAAAACAAGCTTTTTTCAACCAAGAATTGAGTTATTCTTATAGGTTTGAGTTCACCTCCAGCTGTGACACACATCACACCAAACAGAGGAACAGACTGGATGTAGAGGACAGCTTAGGATCGATCACCTGTTTTTCACACTATCAGAGTTATCAGAGCTCATCAAAGCAACTCATGTGTCTTGAGGAAAACCAAGTAAAATGAATTAGGTCAGTCTGACTATACATTTTGTTCTGCATTTTGTTCCCAATTCATCAAGTTTAAATGTGATTATAAGGGAGTTACTCGGAGGAGCTCGAGTTTTATAAATACAGATTTATAATAGGATTTTATTTTGTATTTATTTTAATTCCTGACTAACTTTCAGGCAACATACTTATGTTTTTTTATTTTTAATTTGAGATGGAATTTACTTTTAATTATTTCATGGGACATGTAATCATATAATTTAATGCTATATAATTTTTTTTTAAATCATGTACAAGAGAAGAAAGAAAACAAAGGAATGTTATATCTACTTATTTTATAGTGTACTTATTTATGTCATGGGACGCTCACCTTTTGTATATACTAATATATTTTGGCCCTCCATATACATCAGGGATCCCACAATGGTTGTGCAAATCATCTCGTGACCACACTTGGTGACCCCAGAGGGTCCTGACCCCCGTTTTGGAAACGAGCACTAGATGACTTGTAGCAGACTACAACCAAGGTTTTTATCCTGACCCAACTCCATCAAGGTCATGGTGTGTTAACAAAAAGTTAGGGTCCCAACAGATTCTGCCAGCTAAGCTGTCTATCTTTAATTATCGCTCTAATTCCACAGCCTTTACATTAGGTAGATTACTTTTTTTTGCAATATATGTTTAAGTGCAAGTGGACTGCTCAGTTTTATAAAATATCATAATTTTGTGGTATGGTATTAAACTAACCCTGGTTTACAGTACTTTACAACCTTGTTCACGAACCTGTCGGATATGATCTTTGGAACACAGCGATAAGTAAGCCCCTGTCAGATCTCCAGAGGGAGCATTTGATAAAGGAATACCCCAGAAATACAGACAGGTGCCCTGGAAACAGCCAAATTAAGGTCCAAGCCTTAATGGTACACAAAAGGAGATAGAGGTCAGCCAGATAAACAGACTGTTCTCCACTCAACCAGCTAAAGTGCACACCCAGTGAGTGAATAGTTGTTGTTTTTTTCAGTTTTTCCACATTTTAACATTAAAAACGGAAAAATATTGTCATTGCAAACTATTTTCACCTTGAAATCCGTCTTAGTTATTACACTATCTTTTGGTAGAGGTTCACATCATGGTTTTCTATCAGTTTATGAATTAATGTTTTTTTTTCTTCATTTTTGTGCAATCCCTTAGGTGCGCTTGTAGGAGATTGCTCTACTTCTAATGACACCCAGAGGCCTAGCCAGAAATTTTTTATAAGGGTGGCCAGGCAATAACAAATGTACACTGATGGGTGGCCAAAGGTGGATAGGTGCCAGAACCTCAGGAAAATTAAAGAGCAAAACATCCATATTTTCTAAATGAAGACAAACTATTCTTTCCTACATCCTTTGTTAACAAATAGACATATATAGTGGATACAATTCTTTCAGGTTTAAGTTCTGGGGCAAACATCTTTTCCAGTGTCATTACTTACTTTTATCAATAATCACTCAAAAAAAAAAAGATATTTACAGGTACATATCTACATGAATTGATTATTTCATACTTTTTTATTAAAATAACTATTTATCTATGATTTCACTGAAGACTCCTAGATGACGGAGAGTCACATAATTTTCTCTTTAACCCATATAACACAAAATCTAGTTCTGAAAAGAGCATAATTCTGTACTTATCTTTAATTTCAGTATATTTATGTGCATAATTATCCACAGTGTCTTTGTTGTCAAGTAAATGTTAATATATTAAAAAAAATAAAATGGTTAGAATTTCTACTTGAGAGTATTACTGTTGCCACCATCTGTATTAGAGGGAAATAAATGGTAGGGGTGGCCACAGGGGGGGCCAATGATTGGCTAAGGGTGGCCATTGCCACCCCTGGTCCCCCATCTAGCTCTGCCCCTGATGACACCAGCAGTTCAGTATTATTCCAAACAAAATAAATAAATAAATAAATAAAAATAATAATAGTAACGAAGAAAAACAAAACAAACAAAACAAAACAAAAAAACAGGTGTAAACTTTTTTTTTTTTTTTTTTGCTGATTGTAATTACAGTGAATAACCAGCCGGGTGAAGTGTTGTCATGACAACTTGCGTCACTGCTTGTAAAAACGCCCATCGGGCTTCCTTACTTACACTTCCGTCAAGTTGAGCAGTTGCTGCTTAGTCTCTGTACATTGTGGTCTTTTTTTATTCAATCAGACTCAAAAAACACTTTGATAGAGAAAAATGAGCGAAATCAAACCAGAAGATCCAGCGACAGCTGAGCTCAGCGCCGAGGAAAAAGACTGGGCGGCAGCTAAAGCTTTTTTTGACAGTTTGAAAACAAAAGTACCGAGGCCGGTGAGTTTTTTTTTTTCGTTTTTCCACCTAGCTTTTTATTACGTATTTTCAACAGTTTGGCTTTTTCAACATATCTTATGTGTCAGTAATGTTTGTTTGTTTTCTTCCTCTCTCTGTGTCAGCCCAAACCCCGGAATGCTGTAACCATCGCCGTCTCCTCTCGCACCCTCTTCAACATGGTGGCAGAGAGGAAGATCTACGAGGATGACGGGCTGGAGACGTACGTTGGGTTCCAGGTGAAACATGAAGACGAGCCTTTGAAACCTGGACCTGCATTTCCCTTTGTTAAGGTAGGCCTGATCTGTGGGAGTGGTTAGCAGCTGTAGCTGCAGGCGTTGGCCTGTTTAATGTATTCCAGTTGTAGCTTACTGTTGATAGTAAGAAGTTATCATGGTGCTGCTGGCAAAACAAAAAAGCAGGTCCTATAAATAGTTTAATATTCAGGGGCGCATCTAAGGGGATCCCAGGTTTGGGCTGGTTACAGTATTGGTGCCCCTTCTTCTTTTGTTGACACTAGCTACAATTTTGTGGATGTGTGTGTGTACAAAAAGTTTTCTACTATTCTTTTCTTAAAAAAAAAAAAAAAAAAATCATTAAAAGTGAACAAAACCCATTTTTATCACTCTATAAGTTGACCCAAGACATTATCATTTTTTTAAAACAAGCTCTGAGGTTTATAATGATGTATTTTTTTATGAAATTTAAAAAGAATCACAAAATGAAAAAAGTCTGTTTTTCATATAAATATTTTAAAATATCTCTAATTAAAACTAATCAATGCAGTATTTATTTTTCAATTATTGACTTTTATTGAAAGTTAGTGATGGCTTAATTTAGATTTTTTACTCTTGTCTTTTTAATCATGATGCTCTCACAAATGAAGTTAATCGTTGAAAGGTACAAAACTATTGATTTGTTCATTTAATTGTATTTCCTCTTTAACAGGCAGGTTCCACATTGTAACTTCTGTCACTTGTTTTGGCTGTGACATGGAAAAAAAAAAAAACTCTGATCTTTTTTGCAAATGTGGAGCATTAGTTAAATATTTTTTTCTGATAAGGAGCTGAACATCTTTTTTCGTTATTGTTGTTTACAGTATAACATACTTAAGAAAGTTCTTTGTATTACAAAACGTCTCTCCTGTTGTTAGATGATTTTTATACATGCTACTTAACAGCTGGTAGTTCTAATGGAGAAAGGTTTGGTTTTCAACAGTCTCCATCCATCCATCCATCCATCCATCCATCCATCCATCCATCCATCCATCCATCCATCC